GCCCGATCTAATTGACTTTGGAGAACCAACAAAAGAAGTTCCGACTCCGAATAGCGCGGATAATAGCGGATCCAAGATCGCAGTTAAGACAGAAGAAGAGCAGCAAGCTGCGGCTCGGGAACGAGAGGAGCGTGAGCGTCGCGATGCTCGTCGCAAATCTCTTGCAAACCGTCGCGTATCTTTTGCTGCCGAGGCAACTCTACACACGTTTCATGAAGTTGAATTTAACCAGGACTCGACTACATCTACTGACTCAACAAGGCGAAACTCAGCCTTTTCCAATGCCGCCGCTCAGCAAAAGGAACGCGATGACGAAGAGAAGAAGCAGAGACGAAGTTCCGGACTCCCACCAGTCAATTTCCACAACTCCGAAGACGACACTGCGACAACGCTCTATAGTTCAGATTCCGAGCCTGCAGATGCAGTCGAAGAGGTTGCCGATGTTGAGGAAGATGGCGATGATGATAGCAGCGAATCCGACGATGGAACGATGATGACTGTCGATGATGTGACCGGAACAACAGCTGCTTCAGATCGATCGGTCGATTCCGATGGAGAGTCATCCACCCTAGATGAAGCACTCAGATTGGCTGCGCGAAGAGCTGGCAATCAACAGCTCCAAGATGAAGAAGACGACGACCTTGACGAGGACGAAGAATATATCCCCATGTTTGGATGGGGCAAGGAGAACAAGAACAACATTGCTGCACAAGATCAAGAAAATCTACCGCCTCCAGCTCGGACTCAGCAAGCTCAAGCAATGCAAGATACGGAGGACGCTACCCAAACCAACATGAGTATGGACATGGATATGGACATGACACGCGCAGTCGGCGGTATCATTAAGCCCCAACCCGCACAGCAGTATGATCCCGATGAGGATATGTCTATGGACGTCACTCGTGTAATAGGGGGCATCATCAAACCCCAACCTCCACAAGAACATAATCCTGATGAGGATATGTCTATGGATGTTACGCGCGCATTTGGTGGTATTGTTAGCCAACCACAGAGAACCAGCGCTCACAATGGCGATGAAGAGGAAGAGGAAGAGGATACCCCAATGGAAGAGGCTACCATGGAGTTCACAACCGCAATTGGTGGTATCAAACGCCCAGCGCTCGAGCAAGATGAGGGGTCAGACGGCAACGAAGACATGTCAATGGAACTCACTACTGTTATAGGCGGAGTCCTGTCACAAAAGAAGCGGAAGAGCATAGCTGCTTCTCGAAGGCGTACGGTCAACCGTGCCGAAAATGAAAATGATGATGATGATGCTCCCATGGATATGACTCTTGCAGTTGGCCAGATCCTGTCAAAACCCGGAACTGACCATCCAGAAGACAATGAGGATGCGGATGAGGATGAAGGCGATGCTACAATGGGTATGGATATGACCACTGCCATTGGGGGTATTCTCAGCAAAGCGACAGGTGGCTCACGAAACCTGGGCAAGCGGGTTATGGAAGAGGAGGCTGATAGTGCAGATAGTCCTGATGATGTGCTTCAGGCCGCTATTAGCAAGAATGCAGTTGACGAACAAGCTAAACCCACAACGCCGAGCAATAAGCAGACTAAGACACCAAGCCCCGGACCCTCAAGGACTCCAAGGAGTGCTCTACGAAGTATCACTGGTACTAAAATCTCAACTCCACAAGCAAATCCTCGAAATTCTCGCACACCTTCACCTGCAAAAGCAACAACAACACCGCAGTCAACCAAGGCCAAAACACCAACATCAGCCAAACCAGCTACGCCTCAACTCGACTCAGTTGTATCGGAAAAGAAGGCTACACCTCGCTCTACGCAACGAAAACCTCGCTCAGCTTCTCCAAAGCGACCATCTTCTGTCAGAACGACAAGAGCTAGTTCAAGGACCCCATCGCCTGTCAAGTCCACTCCCAAGCAAGGTCTTTTCCAGAATAATTTTAGAAACAGCAACCGAACTCCGACAGTCATACTTACACCCCAACGAAGCTTGTCAGGAATTGGTGCTGACCGGGCTGGACTTGGGTCCCCACAGGTCGCTGCGCTTTTCGATCGACGAGGCTCTATTGGTGATATGGCTACAAATTTCGTGCCGGGAAAGCGTGGCGTCATGTTTGAAGACCCCAAGGAGATGACACAAGAGATTGATCGCGAGGCACAGGAAGAAGAAGATAAAGAAAACCGCAGAAAGATTCTTGAGAGGGAAGCTGATGGCGCCGAAGCCACACTTAACCTACGAGAAATGATTGACAGCCTAAGTCCTAAGCGTAAGCCGCTCAGGGGTCGCAAGAGTCTTCATGTAGGAAGTGCCAAAGGCCTTCTTGGCAAGCGACCTAATGAACTTGACGACGATGAGGATGAACCAGAGGATAACGATGGTGTCAAAAGACTCAAAGGTCACCAAGGAAGCCCAGTCAAGAACGTCAGACTTCAGCAACCGCCCTCCAAAGAGGAGACGACGGGAAGATTGAATTATTCGTTCCGACAAAGCCTGCAACCAAATACTGCTACACCGACCTCGTCTTCGCCAGAGAAGCCCGATGCAGCAACCACGCCAAGGCATCAGGGTAGATTCAAGGAGGTTGAAGACGACAGGGCTGGACACCAGGTGAATTTCGATGAAACCCCGATCAGAGATGCGGAGCAGCTGCAGGACGAAGTAGAGGCAGAGGCCGACCAAGACGGAGATAGAATTCATCTTCAGGATTTCCTGAACATGACCTCTATTCGCTTCATGGAGCTGACAACAACCAAGCGTCGTCACACGCAAGCTCCCGGAACCCTTGACAGCGGATTCCTTGATGACGGTGAAGAGGACCTTTCCCTCGAACGTTGTGTTGTTGCTGGAGCTTGCACAGTGCCAATGCTTGAACTCTATCAGCACTCATGCCGTGAGCTGAAGAAGTATATATCGGAAGGCCGACGAATCGTGAAGGAAATTGAGACCGACACATTTGAGGAGAACCCGCCTCTGTTCAAGGAGTATATGGCGGCCACACCTGAGATCAAGACTCTGATGGACAAGCAGTTTATGAACGTCAAGAACCACGCTCGCTTGTTAAGCAAAGCCATGTGGTATGAATGGCGAATGAAACTGCAAGAGGGATTGAAGGAAGGTCTTTTAGGAATCGACGATGGTATGGAAACCGACAAGGAGCTTCTGGATAAGCAGAAGAGTCTCCTTGATTCCGTGCTACCGGCCATTGTGGCTCGTTATAAGTCCCTTCTGGAAGAAAGCAATAATCTCGAGGAGATCGCCCGGGAGCTTGCTGACTGTGACCCTGCCGATCTTGAGGCTGCCCGCGACGAGCTGGCGTCTCTGGATGAGGACGTCGAATATAAGAAGAAGCGCATCGCAGAGCTAAGGGAGCAGTTCCAAGCTTCAGAAGTTGAAGTCGAGGACTTGATCACCCAGAAGCAGAATTGTGTCGATGAAATCGCAGAGTCTGAGAAGATACGAGAGGAATGCCGTGGCTGGACGAGCACAGAGGTCAACAGTCTTAAAGGTAAGTCTTTATAAATCTACTATAAGGCAGTGACTAACACAGTCTTAGCTCGAGTTGATTCCATCGAGAAGCAATGTGGCTGGTCAGTGACTGGCATATCTGGCACTGTCATATCAATGGCCTACAGGCGTGAGATTGAGATCGTCTTTGATATCGCCGCGTTCCAGGAGCATCAACCGAACTCGGCAATTGATCTCTGGTATATCGCTGATAGCCGGGAACAGAACGCACTTCCCAAGACAACAGAGAAGGAGTTCTTCTTACAGAGTATTCGAGATTACGTTCGTGCGCTTCCGCATAGCCGCACTGAGGTTGCCCACCTCCTAAAAAGTGTCCAAAATGCCTGGGACAAGGCAAACCTCGTCTCGTCGCAAGTTGTCCGACTAAACGCTACCTTTCCCACGACAGTGGAGAAAACATCCGACTCAAGTATAGCCATCACAACATCTCTGCTGCTCGTGCCTCTTGAGACTCGTCTTGAAATCAAGCTGGATCTCCAGGGTCAAAGCAGCGCCGAAGCACTCGACGTGATGATTGCACCTGATGCTAAGGTGCTGTATGGTGAACACTTTAACGTACCCAAAGTGACTGAATTTCTAACGGCACGGATTGGCAAGGCTGTTGGGGCTGGAGAAGAGCAGTGGAGTGACGTGATGGTTGAATTGCACGGAAGACTGATTGCGAGAGGTCGCAAGGCAGGATAGTGCATACAAGCCAGTATAATGAGTGACGATGGTAACGGGAATTGGAGCATATGGGAACGAATCACTGGCGTTGTTTGGACACAGATACCTAGGTTTGCGTTTGTCTTTGTCTATAGCAGTGCTTTGTGGCACTGCTCCATTGGCCGATGTTTAACAGCAAAGGCTTTTGTGAAAATAAAATCATCTATTCACTAACTATTATCTCGTGTTTGTCCATGACTGCGTAAGCATGAAAGACCTTTCAACGGAATGGAAGTGATATAATAAGGCCAAACTTGAAGGCACCCTAGGTATTGCTTTGATGTGGTACTATGTTAACAAAGCCATCTCTTTATTGTCAATATCTACACTTCTCAGGCAGGATCAGTGCTCACACAGCAAGGCCAACTCATCTCAGTGACTGAAAGAGATTTCATTTCTACTGCCACTGTTCGCCAGTGCTTGTTCAGCGACTGTCTTGTGGGTTGACACTGCCAGTGTCTGCCTGGCCACTGTCAAGGACTTGATTCACAACAAAAGAATGCTGGGAGTAACAATAAATTCGCCAAACAACCCGTGACCCTTCAAATTCTGCTTCTTGAAAAGATCCCTTCAGTACAATATGATATGATAAATCTTCACCTTCACGCATCATATGTCAAGTGAGTTCCATAAACCTTTCACTCACTTATATACACTTCCGCAATCTCATTCATACGCTCCTGATACTATACTATACTTACTATACTATACGAAGTCATCATAACTCAAGGGAACTAACATTTGAGACTTCTGAGCCATTCCCTCGACACGAATCAACGACATGGCACGCGCATCAGATCTTAGCTGGGTCTGGGCTTGGCTCCCCCTTGACGACAAGTACGAGTGGGATTCTATCTTCACCATAGACGAGGCTTTTGACAACAAATACTACAATATTACCTTCGCCGCTATCTCCGTTCTTTGCAAGATCCTCAAAGCGATAAACATCATCCTTGTGCCCATCGTAATCCTCCTCGGCCACTGGCTTGCCAGCTTGGCCGTACTAATCCTTTCCGTCGTCAGGCTGTCCATTTTGGTTCTCATCGTGAAAGTATTTGGAGATGGATTCGAAATTCACCAAGAGGTGGTAAGACCATTCTTTTCCACCATGTGGAATACTGGGGAGTGTCTATCGATGTCAAGCCTCCTTACATACTTTCCCGTGATCAGGTTTAGGGTTTGCCAAGCAATAGAAATTGTGAGGGAACATCTCGTTTCTATACGAGACGAGCTATACGAAATCACAAGCATTGACTTTCATTATCCTGACCTACCAGACGGAGACATAACCCACATCCAACCCAGCGATACTCGTGCGGAACGGTGGATGAGGCAGCTGGTCCAGGAGGACAGGATCAGAAGGCAAGCTCGACAAGACGAACAGGACCGGATCGCTGAGGCGGAAAACAGGAGAAGGGGCATCGAGAATGAAAGGATTGGCTTAGTATGGATGGGCCTTCAATCAAGAGGGCCACCAGACCATCAACGCCTTCGAGAACGGTCTGGCCTGAGCCTGGTTGCTGCTCTCAGACCTCGCGAGGTGACACTAGCTGGAAGCTTTAGAGCCAGCGACCCTGTATCTCTGCCTCCGGCCCGTGAGCCCGCTCCGGTACCTTCTCCTGCCCCGGCTCCTGCTGATGCAAGACCTATACCAAGCGGCCGAGAGATCAAAAGGGCCTGGGAGGAAGGAAGGTACATCAGCCTAGGGCCGAGACGTACCGTGGTCAAAGACAGCAGCACACAAACGGAGCCAACAGACCTTGCTAGCCATGGCACGATGACGGAGCCCATAGAGCTGCCCCTCCAACCGCATGTAAGCCGTGGCGTACAGACTGGCCTGGTAGAACCTCCTGCCCAAGGAGAGCCCGAGGCCCCAGTAGTTGTGCCGGAGCTTCCAGTCTCTGAGCCGAATCCAGATCCAGCTTCACCTGAGGACACACAGAGGTCTCTCGATAGGGGCAAGGCTCTCAATGGCCCCGAGCCAACAATCAACACCAACTTGGTTATTATCCATGAAGACAAAGCTGAAGACGAAGTAAAGGAGCCAGAATACTCTGCTGTATCCTCACGTCTCCCCGCCTCTATCGCCCTTCCTGACTCGCCTAAGCCTACAACTGATGCTGAATCTGAGCTCGTGCAGACTCATGCTACCGTCCTCGACCATCCCTATGCTATTGAGTCGCTTCCTCACACACCAGCTCCAGCTATCCTGAAGTCTACACGACAACCTCCGGTCCATTCAACAGCGTCTGCTCCAGAGACTTCGAGGAGAATTGGACGGGGGCCCAAGTCCTCTATTCGCGGCTTAAAGTCAAAGGAGTGTAATGGCATACGTCACCAATCACGAAGGGATGTTCCTATTAGGAATAGTAGACAGGCCAAAAGGCACCAAGACAGCGAGGAGAAAATGTACGAGATTTCCATGAGGTTGTTGGAAGAACAGCCTCCTAGTTCACTCAAGTCTGTGGAGACTCAGCAAGTCATTGATACTACTACCACGTCCGCCAACGTCTCTACTTACTACACGCCCATCTCACATCACGACTCGAAACACGATATTCAAAGAAGCCCCGTCGTTAGATATCCACTTACCCTCGAGCTTCCTTGGCCAGAGACTACTGAGCCCCATGCTACTCCAGAGAGTACATCTGTCTCTGATGCTTTGACTAGCGATCCCATAGGTATAGCCTCGGGAGCCCAAGATGACCAAAGCGAAGCCTCTCTTCAGACCTTCGCGGAGCCCTTTTCTAGCGTCGTATCCGCCGAGAATGAGTCTTTTACGGGATGTCAATCTGCTACAGTATTCCCAAACACTGAGAGGAATCAACAGGCTATGACTGAAGCTTGTGAAAATGTTTCTAAAGAGACATCACTGCTCAAAGTCAATGACGGTGGGGCAGCTTTGCCCTCTGCTTCCACTCCACTCCTTTCAAACACATTGAGCCAATCTGTATCTGAGAGAACAAGTATAGGGCAGCTATCCAGCTCTCATGGTACTAGCTCCATTCCCCTACTTGAGGAGATTGAAGACATAGAGATTTCGCTCGATCAGATGATCGCAACGTCTCTCCTGCCTAGGTACAATGAATCTGAGGAATATATATATAACGATAGCCTCGATGACCATGATGTTGTCGGAAACCAACAAGAAAGCCTGGACGGAGGACCAGAAACACCAGCCGCAAGACCCAATCCTCACGACAGTGACGAGGAGATGGGGAGTTTCGAGCCTGGTGCCGCCGGGGATCCCTGCGTAAGGTCAAAGGAGGAGCAGACCCCCCTAGCATCTACAATTTATGACGCTCAAATGGCCGATGTATGGCGACCAAATGAAGATGAAAGTAAAAGAATTGGAGATGCAGCTCAGGACCTGTTTAAAGACCTCATGGGCCAAGATGACGAAGACTCCTCGGAAGACACAAAACCAGAAAGAGAGCCATCAATGAACCCAATGAGAGAGATAGTAACCGAAGATCAACAGGCAAATCTCGAAGATACTCCTATGCAGGATATGCAGTCGTCTGCACCACCCGCCATTACCGCTGGACTTCACTTACCGATTCAGCAACCAGAGGGCCCGAGTGTCCAGGCGCAGCCTTTCATATCGCCAGAGTCTCGTCCCGTAGGCCAAGGGATGTCTCCACGGGAGGAAGCCAAGCTTGCGGACATGCTTGTGGCCGCGTTTGAGGAACATGGCCCGGACACACCCACACAAGATGCTCAACCTCCCAGTGTTCGCCCTCAACCTCTCACGTCTGCAGACCCGCTTCTAGAGGCTTTTCGTGCTAGACTCAAGGCAGCAGAAACTGAACCGCAGCCAGACAAGTACGACGTGCAGGTTCCCAAGGACCGCGATCCTCCTGATCCAGTAAAAGAAGCCACCGCTGACCAGCGCGCTAACCGAAAGATTGCGAAACCGATGTCTCGAGCACATAAGTACACTCCCGCGGCCCAATCAACCCTTCAGTCAGTGTCACAAGGGCAACCCCATTCACAGTCGGAAACATTGCGACAAACGCCCTCCCAGGTAAACGAAGACAGAGGAGTTGATATAGCGGAGATGGACTTGGCGGCTCGCAGTCTATTAGACCTCGCAGCTGCTACGGGTATTGTTGTCGGGAATGATGCTTCAAACCAGGCAGCGTCTCCTTCAGGCAAGGACTCTAGTCATAAGGACACTGACGCCCAGAAGACTGATGTCCATATCACAAGCAGTCAGAAAACTAGTACCCATGAGACTAACATGCAGGAGTCATCCATCAGCGATCCTGAGGTCGAAAGGCAAACGGCAATGACCCTGCCAGAGGAACAATCTGGACCAAACTCACAACAACCTCAAAGCGCCTCTGCATCTATCTTGTCAGCTGAAAGCCAGCCCTCACTTGTTCAGTCAACGCCCACTCAAACACCGCCAGCCCAACCATCACCAGCAGCCGCAAGCACAGCCGCAGCTCAGCAACATACTCCTACCACCAATAACTCACCCACCGCAGCGGGCCCCATCAATACGCAACAACAACCAAGTATTTGCCCCGTGATGCATGGCGGACTGCTACTTCCAGGGGGTAACCCAACGCTTTCTAACCCAACAGCTACAGCTACACCAGCACCCAAGAAATCTGGCCCTGACCCCGAGAAGGTTGCAGAATTCCACAGGAAAAAGCAGGCACAACTGAAGAAGCAAAGACCGAAGAAGCCAGTCAATATCTTCATGCAGACGAAACGGCCTGCTGCAGTTCCATCCACACCTGACACACCTCAGAAGAATCCAAACTCTTCCACTCAAGGACGGTCGCCATCACTAACGACTATTGATGAAGGCGATAAGAATACGAAGGCTGGTCTAGATTTGCTCTTTGGTGTTCCAGGGTCTAATAAAAAGAAACAAGGCCTACAAATTATCGACATCAATGGCATCCCGGATCATCAGAGAACTCGGATACAGAAAGATGATGCCGGACGTAAAGATGAAGAAGAAGAATAGCAAAAGAACAAGGCGAAGACGAAGGAGAACAGAGGCAGAGACCGAAGGAGGAGAAGACACCATGAAACGCACACCAAGCAAAAGTTTGCTTGTTAAAGAGTCCTCGGGTATAAATAGAAGTGTGTGATTGGCATTCGGATCCACACGAAAGGCTACCTCATAATGAACCTGTTCTACTTAGCCAGTATGACAAGCCAGTATGGTTAGGTTCCTGAGAAACACGGCACACATATATACCACCATACCAATTTTCAAACCTAGTCTGCTTCGTATTCTGTAGTTGACCACAACATTGCATTCTTATCTAAGACTCTGTATAAATGCTCATCTATTGACTCGTCTGGACGTTATCACATCCCAATACTATGACTCGCTAGAGACATCAAACTTGAGAGGGAAAGTTTGAAAGTAGGGACATCTGAAAGAAGCATCAGAGCCAGGATTGATCTTGACTAGCAAATTGCTCAGGTATGAGGATGGCTGACTTGAGAGTCCTGGAGTTTGATGCCATGATATTCGTACTATGAGCCTTCAGGCGTGGGTGGTCACACATTGTGCGGATGACGGATCCTCAAAAGGGTTTGGCCAAACTGACATGACGAATCTGTCCCAGATCTCTGGTTTAGGTTACTATTAGACATATTAGACATAAAGCCTATATCACGAAGGACTCAGATGTATGAATGTAGTTTATTGCTCCACTGGATCAACCATCCAGACGGGAGTTGCTAAATCACGATAACAATGCTACCCAAACTCCATCCCGAGCAGTCTATTCTACTCAGAACACTCTACGTGAGGCTGTCTGCTTAGCAGCATCCCTCATCGCAGGCGCAGAGACCACAGCAGATCTCACAGCCAGCCTCCTCACCACCACGCATGGTCATATCAGGCTGAGGCTCAGCGCTCTTCGTGCGTGTTAGTCTGTGAAGCATGGAGCCTCGCGTACGATACAACTTACAGGCTGCTGTGTGACGATGTCTCCGTTATCAGAGGTCATGGGGGCTTGCTGAGTGTGTTCCATGGCGGCGGGCATCTTGGATGACTGATGGAGATCGAGTGATGGATCTGGATAAGAAGAGGCAAGGCAGTGGATGATGAAGTAGAGTTGTTTGTTTAGTGCTGTGTATTGTATTGTAGCAAGTCTGCAATCCCACAGCTAGGAACGAGCTCTTAAGTACCTTCAGCCAACTGAGAGGCCTCTCTCTTCACTGAAACTCAGCCACTCCGTTCCAGCAGCTCCTGTCTTTGTCTACATTCTTGATTGGCCTCACCGTATGGTTCCTGTTAATTCAGCTTTGACCAGAGACTCCTGTGACGTACGCTTGAGATGCCGAGTAGCCGTCCAGGCCTGAGATATTGTCTGCGGGAGCAGCCGTAGGGAGAGTGTTCTGGCCAGGGTCCATACTATTAAGGATACTTTGTATAAGACGTACGGCAAACCTACGCCGAGTATGGTTTCGTCCAGGCACGTAATTCGCCAATGATAGGGTCCAAAGCCGTCAGCAAGCCATTAACCGGCACGGTCACTGCCGAAAGATGCGGTGCCGAACTTCCGGAACGCCCGCATTCCACATTTATGCAAGCCTCAAAAGCTTGAATAGGCAATACGACAAACAGGGATAATAAGAGAGACGCAGACAACACCACGCAAGTCATGAGCCACCGAGGGTCCGAGGCAGAGGACAACAGATAAGAATAGGTACATGGATGGATTATGCTATCTTCAGACCACTAATAAATAAGGTGTGATAGCTAAAATAAAATGTAAAGGGTGAAACGAATGACCAAAACCACAAGCTTAAGGTAATGGTTTCAGAGAGCCCATCCGAATTTACTATTGGAACCGCTAGTAATGTAGAAGCAGATTAAAGGCTGCAACACATCAATTGTCAGATTGAAAAGCGTTCCGTGTGACCCCCCTCAGAGTCAATAGTCAATAGTCAATAGCCAAATCAAATGTTAAGTTATCCTTGGTGTTAGCATAAACAACGCGTTTTATAGTGTAGCAATCACGGATGCCACTTCACCAAAGGCAACTCGAGAGGAGCACAAGACGGGCAACACATCGATTCTTCTCGACCCTTCGTTCCCCCCAGCAGCTCATTCCATTGCCATTTCCAGACCTGAGTGCCTTTACTTTTGTCCTTTATTTTTATTTTGTTTAGTACTTTGAGAGCCTCGCAGCCTTGAAACGACTGACTGGCTCCCGTCCACCATCTTGCTCCTCCAAAGGTTGGATCGGAGATTCATCTTCCTTGAGGAACCCACCTTCTCGTTGGATGAATTTCTTTCGAAGCTTGTGGTGCTCATCGGCGACCTCTTGATATATCAACTCATCATCAAATTCATCCGGTGGGTGAGGAGCAGCGCGTGTGGATTCGCGCTCAACTAATGTGTCAGCGAGTGTTGTTCCTTCAGGACCCGTAGGTGCCGTAGGCCTGTCCTGGTCTAGGAACTTGGTGGGGACATCAAGAGGGCCCGGTGGAACAGTATCTCTGGCCTTCTTGAATCTCGATGGTTTGCGCGTCGACTTGATTTCAGATGTATCGGGAGCCTTGGCAGTGCTGGAGCGCTCAACAATTTTGTCGCTCAATGGTTCCACAATCGGTTCCTTCTCCTTCACAGGGGCTTCTCTCACCGGAAGGACAGTGGGCTCGTTCTCCGGTGCGATATCCAGATTGGAAGCAAAGCGAACGCCCTTCTTGCCGTTGGGCTGTTCTGGTTGCTTCTCTTTGATGTTTGACTTGGTGGGCGCAGGTTTCGAGGCTGAGGATGATGATGTTGTTGTCGCCGAGGCTGGCTTGACTACGATACGACCAATGCCTTCTTCATCATCCGAACTTGCATCACCATCCCTATCCTCTGGCTGCTCGGTGAAGCGGGATTTGATGCCCAGTTTCTTCTCCAACTCCAGCATTCTTTGACGGTAATCATCTGTCACAACGCGGCCAGTATACCGACCATATTTGTCTTCCTGGTCGTCGTCATCATCCCCAAAACCTTCGTCACTGTACTCATATTCGTAGTCGTCGCTGTCTCCCTCTTCGAGCTGCAGCTCGGCGACAACAGCACCAACTTCTCCCGAGTATTCGAGCATCTGCCGCCGTAACTCTGCGTCCTCCTCATCCTCATCCTCGGGGATGTACGCTTGCTCGTTGCTGATCTTCTCCTGCTCCTTGGCATGGTTCATGATCTCTTCAACACGCTTAGCATTCCGCGAGACTTGGGGCTTTGGGCCGTCTTGCACTTTAGTATCTGCAGCAAATGCCACTCCCTTAGTGGCAGATGGTGCTAGAGTCGTGGTTTCAAGCTCTGTATGCTGGGAAGGACTTTCTTGGGAGTATTCGGCTTCTTTTTGTTCAGAGCTCTCGATTTTTGAGGCTGAGTTGCCATCTTCGAGATCTTCGATACCGGCCTTCTGAAGGGCATCTTGAATCTTAGGTAAGGCAGTATCAGGCTGGTTAAGCTTGTAAGAGATAACATTGTCGTCATCGTCAAGCTGCTCGATAATTTCTGTGATAGGCAGACCGTCGTCTTCAGTAAAGTCGGGTTGACTTTCGTCAAGCTTGGTCTCAGCAGCGCTGATCTGCTTTTGCAGCGATGTGATATTCGTGGTAACGTAATCGATGCGTCGGTCAAGAATATTCAAAATCTGTTCGCCAGATCGATGTGTCCTCTCACCAAAGATCTCATCAAGTTCACGATCTTTCAAAAGCTCTCCTTCGAATCCAGCGTGAATAGTCTTAAGCTCTGTCTCGCCATTCTTGCATACGGCTTCGACCTCTTCTTTGAGCATCTCATACTCAACATGCCAGGTCTGCCAATGCTTCAGGGCATTTTGCAGCTTGCTAAGATCATCTTCCAGCTGCCTTTGTTGCTTATCAAAGTCCGAGACCTCTGACATTTTTTTTTCTTTCTTTTAATTCGGTGCAACTTTTATGACGCTGCGATGAAAGGAGAAAGATGAGGAAGAAAGTTTGTAAGGCGTTGAAGTCATGATGAATGGTCCAGCCTCTCCACTAAGAAAAAAAAGTTAGGAACCAACCTTTGAAGATTGGCGGGCTAACTTCGGCTATCAATCTGGCTATTTCACCGTCAACGTTTGCCCCACAACAACATCCGCCAATTCAAGCAATGACGATCGATAACTAGCGATCTCAGCCTTAGCGTTATGCACGCCCTTCAGGTCATAAGGCTTTAATCGCGGGGTGCACCAAGTTAGTAGCGAGGTGAACTTCACGCTGTGTGTTATGGCATTAACAGATAATGCTATCTTTGGTTGTGAATTCCGATAGAACATCAACATGTTCAAATGTGGGCAAGCATGTAATACATCGGCCTGAATCCTTCCGACCAACCTCTTTACATGCCAGATGCACTTCCATATATCCAAGGAATTATAAGACGACGTATGGCGGTACCTGCCTATTGAGTTATCCCCACAAGCAGAGGTCGCTGTATAAAAGCAGAAGATCTTTCGCCGTGGGCTGACCTACAACTTCGTTCACTATACATTGATCACCAACAAAACAGTCTTCACTACCTACACATCTAAGCCTATCTGTAACTGTCTCAGCCATGGCAGAATGTAATGAAAGCAAGACTCTTGAAGCCAAGTGCTATTGCGGCTCTGTCCATTACACAATCGATGTACCGGTTTCGAAACTACCTCTACTCACCCATCTCTGCCATTGCAGCCTCTGCAGGTATGGCTCTGGTGCGCCATGCATCTTCCATGCTCCGCTACCGGATGGGGTGAAACCCAAGTTTGTGGAACCATCCTCCAGAAGCAATATGACGAGCTACGCCATCGGGAAGAAGATCGGGACATGGAACTTCTGCTCAACGTGTGGTTGTCACATTGCTTCAACTGGGCCGCCTGAGAACGAGTTCTGGACAGTTGCTTCATCAACATTCGTGAATGCTTCAGACTTCTTTGATGTCCGCAAGCACATCTTCAGCAACTCCACAAAGGACCGGGGGATCGCCGAAGCCCTGACACATGCTGGCGGAAAGGAGTTCATTGACTGGAACCCTTCTGACGGTAGCCCCGAGGCAAAGATCGTTGAATCTCATGTGGAAGTTGGGAAGGACGGGGAAGAGCGTCTTCGTGTGGAATGCGAGTGTAAAGGCATCTCTTTCACTATTCCCCGGCCGAGCCAAGAGATCAAGGAGGACAAATTCTATTCACAATTCGTTTCTCATAGAGATGATACCAAGTGGCTTGCGACTTTTGACGCATGTGACGATTGCCGGCTTCACAATGGGACTAACGTTGTGGGATGGACGTTTGTCCCTTTATCCATATGCGAGCCCCGTATCGAAGACGATCTACTCATTGGGAGCGCCAAGACGTTCAAATCGTCGGACAATGTCGTGAGATCCTTCTGCGGCACTTGCGGTGCAACTGTTTTCTTCTCTCACGCTTGTCGAAGGCCGTCTGAGAACCATCATGTTGTCGACTTGGCCACGGGTATCATCAGAGCGCCTGAAGGTGTCATGGCAGAGAAGTGGCTCACTTGGCGAGCAAGGTTGGCATGGGCTGATAGCGGAAAGAGATTCGATAGTGGCTTCACTGAAGCACTGCAAGAAGGCATGAACAAGTGGGTGTTGAAGAGAGAAGGTCTTGTTGAGGATTACAATATCGGTTGATGGCTCCGATATTCGGAGGTTTGCCGAAGGACAATGCATGTTAGTCTCGGGGTTGTCAGGTGTTTGTTGGTGAAGTGACAACGATTCACGACTGCATGGTTAAAGTTCAACTGTCAGAATAATAGCAAACATTTATTCCTCTATTTCCTTATGAATTTTTATATAAACTTAGCCATGGCTATTAATCCCATCAGCGGCATTCGCCTCCCGAAGCCCGTCCTGTCACTAAGTTCTTAGCGGGATACACCCCGAGTCTGGTGTGCGGCGACATCGCTTCATGAGCCCAAATCTCTATTCAGCAAAGTCGAAAAAGTTTATGTCTGATACCTCTGACTTGTACCGGCTCTTTCGATATTAGTTACTTGTGGTGCGGCCACTGAGCTCGAATACCTCGTCTATAGCACGGCGTTGACTTCATGAGTGGATTACCCGAGCTTTCTGCGAGTTACCACCACTAAAGACAAGGCAGCTTCACTTAAACATCTCAAGACGTTGCCGATTTCAATGCGTCATGTCTTTTGGCGGGCTTTTAGGCAACCTTTCAGTTTCATAGCGGTACAACGAGTCGCGGTATCCACCATGGCCTCAAAAGGACGGTCCTATAATGTACGCAACCTCTCATACTGCTTCAAGAATAAGACAAGAAGAATGGCCAGCTGACTTATTTTAGGATGCCATTGATGCGCTCAACTCACTTCAGACACCTTTTGATGTCGTCGAGGCTCGTCGGAAGGCGGGGATAAGGCCTGATGCTGTGTCTATCAAGGAAATGCAGACATACCTTCATCGCATTGGATATACTGTAAGACTCTCGAGCACGAAACATATGCATGAGACTGATCAAGTGACAGCCGTCTGATCTCAATCGCCTAAATATTGTACATGTAGCCGGCACAAAAGGCAAAGGTAGTACCTGCGCCTTTGTCGACTCTATCCTCTCTCAGTATCAGCACACAAGGGGCACACCCCGCAAGACAGGCTTTTTCACATCGCCTCATCTCATCGCTGTTCGTGAGCGCATACGCATCAACTCAACGCCCATTTCAGAAGACCTATTCGCAAAGTATTTCTTCGAAGTGTGGGACCGTCTCGAATCGGCACCGAAAGATGATGCAAAGAAACTCATGGCTCCTCGACCTATTTATGCGCGATATCTGACTTTGATGAGTTGGCATGTCTTTCTTCAAGAGGGCATAGATGTTGCTATATATGAGACTGGTATCGGTGGTGAATTTGATGCTACAAACGTTGTGGAGAAGCCTATAGCATCTGGCATTAGTACACTGGGCATTGATCATGTGTTTGCTCTCGGTGATACGGTGGCTAAGATTGCATGGCACAAGGCGGGCATCGTGAAGACTGGAAGCGCGGCTTTTACAATCGAACAGGTCCCAGACGCAGAAGAAGTTCTGAGGAAAAGAGCCTCGGAAAAGAACGTGGATCTGAAAGTCCTACCAGTCGACCCTCGGCTTAGCAGCGTTCAAATTCGACCAGATGCAACTTTTCAGAAGCGCAATGCTACACTGGCTATCGCACTCGCCGAAACAGCACTGGAGAAAGTTGGCATTTCTCTACCACCTCGGACGGATACTTTACCAAAGGAGTTTGTAGACGGGCTTGAGAAGGTTGTGTGGAGAGGTCGGTGTGAGGTCAAGAAGGAAGACAAGGTGACATGGCACGTCGATGGCGCCCATACTTCTGATAGTCTCAAGATGTCTTCTAAGTGGTTCAAGGACGAAACTTCTGGACGGTAAGTCATTATATTACCCTATCCTGCCCTTCAACTAATAGATTCAGCAATGGACCGCGTGTCATGATCTTCAATCAACAAGGCCGCTCAGAAGCTGTCGACTTTCTCGAGTCCGTCTTTAAGGCGACCAGACGAGAAGGACAACCAGCATTTGACCATGTCATCTTCTGCACAAACGTCACCTATGCAGCATCTGGCTACAAGCGTGACTTTGTCAACCGTCAATTCGACCCTGCTGAGATTGATAAGATGACTGTTCAGCAACGGTTTGCGGATAAGTGGATGTCCCTTGATCCCACGGCCACAGTAAAAGTCATGCCCACAATCGAACAATCCATTAACTACGCCCGGCATCTTGGAGAGGATCTCCCAGAGGGAGAGACGGTGCAGGCCTTTATCACGGGAAGCCTGCATCTTGTTGGTGGTGCCTTAGGAATACTGGAAAAGGCCGATGCTCTATGATTTGATGATAATAGAACGAGCTGGTTTGGTGGGCACATCAGGGAGTATTTATAATAGACCTTCAGGCTCCAGCGCTCGCAAAACACCCCCTGCAAGATACATGCTCCCTGTCGACAAAACCTTCTGATGAGATCCTGCAACTTTTCTGGCCTCAGTTACAGCGTCCTGGATATTATCAAATGTGTTGACCTCGCAATTAGCTGCTCTCTCAGCCATCATTTTTGCAACACGTGTCTGGACACTCAGATCTCTGGCTTCTTCATCCGTTGACGGTCCCTCCTGATCGTTCCTTGTAAAGAGCGCATGGCTGAATATGTTTTCTCTCCCTGTAACTTCTTGAACAGTGTCAAGCAATGTTGCCAGCAGTTGTGTTGCATCTCTCTCCTGCTGGTTGAAAACCAGAACTGCCGATTCATCGTTTCCAATATTCGAAGCAAACCATTTTGCGACCTCATACATGCTATCCTTCGTATGCGCACCATCCAGGTACCAGCCAATATGGCCCTGCTGAATGATCTCACAGCGCCCTCTGAGACTTGCCTCCTTGAGCCCTGTAAACATCTTTTCTGGAAGGTTAAGAAAAGCAGTCTTGGGATCAACACTCATACCTAGATGTTGTCGTACAGCAAGCACAGCAAGAGCTTGGTTATACTTTTGAAAATCACCTGGTAGTCTCCCAGCCACACCTCCCCATCGTTCGACACTGGCGTCATCCAACTCGATGAGCTCAGCGCCTTTTTCTGCTGCTCGCTGTTGAAGTACTTGCCTCACGCCAGGCTTCTCGTCCATGCGTCGGACAAAGCCACGCACACCTGGCTTAAGAATGCCGGCTTTGTGCCATGAGATCTTCTCAACCGTGTCGCCCAGCATCGCGACATGATCTATACCCAGCTGCGTGATGACCGCGGCAGAAACAGCTTCAGGAGGCACCACATTTGTAGCGTCGTACTCTCCACCAATACCGCATTCAAGAACAACGCTATCGACCTTTTCTCTCAGGAAGATATGCCAAGCAAGGAGTGTCATAAAGCGGAAGAAGAATGGCTTTGAGCCAGGTCCTTCGGACTCGGTGAGGCTTTTGCCATCCTTCTTAGCAGCTTCAGACAGCCTTTCCCAGAGCTCAAAGAAAGCCTCAGCGAAGAGTTTCTGAGAAACCTGCTCTCCTTGAATGGCAATGCGCTCGCGCGGACTCACGAGATGTGGGCTCGTGTAAGTCCCAACAGTCTCGTACTGCCGTAGCATACCCGTCGCAAATGCGCTTACAGAGCCTTTGCCTTTGGTGCCCGCTATGTGAATGTGTCTCAGACGTGCAAGATCCTTTGGTTCATATCCAGCACGTCGGAGCCATTCGCGCATCTCAGGAATAGCTAAAGCATTGAGATCTTTTGGTGGTACAGAGGAGGCATTTGGGGCAATTGATTTGTCAAAAAGATTCGTGGCTTGGCGATTTGAGTAAAGTGTCGAAAGTTGACGGAGAGCTTCATTGTAATCGCGGGACACGGTGCCAATGCCCCTCCGTGCCGCCATTGTGTGCGTTAATTGATTTCTCAGCAGGGAACTGAGGTTTTCATTCAGTAGGTAGTTTAAACCAGTGCTGTCAGGTCTGGCTGAGACATGAGTGCATTGATACAGGTCTTGTAAGAATCAATGCCCAAGTTAAATGCGAAGGTGAAGAAACGGAGTTGGATGAGTGGCTTATTAGGTCGTCATGTGTAACTTATGTGGTACTTCTACACCAGCCTTTTGTCCCAGTTGACATACTCCAGTTATATTGGCCAACAATTCATATACAACAAAAACCAACAGTTTGATGTTATTGTGACAAGTCAACGATCAAGTATTCTTCGCTGCCAACAATGTCGAATTCGATCTCTAAAATTTTGACTTCCTACTGGATATTAACAAGTTGTTCAGTTCTGGTGTTGTGTTAATCAACAAATGATGAGGAATCATGCAACAAGGCATTAATATCGGCAATAATAAATAGTCAAAAGATGGTAACCACGCCCTCATCGTCTATTGCTATCTAATACACGGCTATCCAGCCTCTCTCTAGACACGACGGCGCCTGGGTCCAATTATACACAACAAATGAGACATCCCTTTTTTGTTTAATCCACACGGAGACTCTGAAGACGGGCTTCTGTGGCAATCACCTATAATCATGTTAGCAAAGCAAAGATAAACATATGGAAAACGATAAAACTCACGTCGAGAGCCTGCTGAACCTCCAACACCTTGCGAACCTCACCGAGCCAATCCTTACTCAAGGTCTTGGCCCATCCATCCAAGCCGTTAATTTCTCGCGCCGCAGAATCCAGATCACCCTCCTCAAGGTACGTTTGGGTTCGGGTGAGAATGCTCTCAACATCGTTACCGTCCGCAAGACCTTGCTTCTTGAACATAACGTGGCTAAGAACCCAGCTGGAAGCGTGGCTGGCAACACCGGCCTCATCGGGTAACAATGAAGCCTTTCGGACCTCATTGGCGACACGACGGAAACGGTCGATCAGCTGGGAGGTAGTAGAGATACCGCGTTGGTAAGCGGATGGGTTAACGGAGGCGATGGCGGCATTGACAACAGGATCATCGGAAGCGATTTCTCGGAGAGCAACGAGCTCGCGAATAAAAGGGCGAGGGTGGTGGTCATCCTCCAAGCTGGCTCGGACAGCCTCAACGGCGACGTGCAGCTGCTGAGTCTTGAGGTTGGTGTCAATAACATCGTTCCAGCCTGTGGTAAGCTTCTCAAGGTCTGATACGGCAGACGACAGAGCGTTCAGCTTGCCTAGTCGGCTCTCACGCTCCTGCTCAACTTGCTTCTCAACATCCTTGGTAAACTCCTTCTTAAGGGCCAAAGCCTGCTGCGCGAGCTGGTTCTGGAGTTTCTCCTCGTTGAGTTTCTTCTCACGCTCAAGAAGCACATTAACTCGGTCCTCATAGTTTTCTCGGACCTTCTTCATCTCCTGCTCAAAGTCTTGTCGCCATTGGTTCTCCTGGCTGATCATGGTGTTCTCAACACGATCGATTAGATCTGTAGCAGCCTTGTCGAACTCCTCAATCTTTTCTCTGACTTGCTGGGCAGCCTTCTTCTCGAACTCACCCTTCATGGCCTTAAGCTTGCCTCCAACCTTGGCGATCTCATCCTTAGCCTTGCTAACAGAGGTGCCATACTTGCCATGAGCATTGTCGGCGTTGATGACTAGGATGAGGTCGTTCACCATGTGGACGAGGTCTTGAACAACAGGCTCCTTTGCATCCTCGAGCGATAGAAGGTCGATTGGCTTCAGAGGAGGGAACTTAGAAGGCTCATTCACTTCTGGTGCTTTGAAACCGGAGTCAGACCTGGGGGTAGGAGCAGGCTCCTCAACCGCCTTCGCAACAGGCTTGGCCTCGACTGGAGCCTTAGCCTTGGGCTTGGGTTTAACAGCCTCCTCGGCCTTCTTAGCAGCGGCGGAAACAGGGCCAGCACTTGAGTGACGTCCGGCTTGGCCTGCATCGGCTACTCTCCAGGAAGCGCCGCTTTGGGCAGGAACTCGAACAGCATCCTCGGTGGCTTGAGTCTTTGATCGGCCGGTGATGTTAGGGAACCGTTTCTTGTAGTCCATCTCCTCGAGGTAGAGAACAGCCTGCTCGCCAAAGGGGACGTATTCGGTGAAGAAATCGTGGAAGTTGTCGCTCACGCGAGAGTACCAGACACCTCCAGCGAAACCAACGACACCAAGAACAAGCAGGGTGAAGACAAAGTTCTTGAGCCTTCGGAAGAAGCCCTTCTTCTTGATAGGCGCAGGCGCAGGCGCAGGAGGAGGGGGAGGAGGTGTCAAAGGGACGTCTGTGGTAGCGGCCTTGGTCTCGCCAACATCGTCAATGGTGGTCTCGTGGATTCTCTCGGACGTAACCGTTTGGGAAGCTGGCAAAACAGGTTGCTTAGTGGGATCGAGCTCGGACTTCTTTTCGACGGAGTAGAAACGCTGGAATTATCGTCGCGGTTAGTTTATTTCTGGTGGAAGCAACTAACACGAGCTGTGACGTTGTAAAGAAAGCTTACCTGACCAGCAAGGCCGGCACGCCGTGTAGCCGCAATGGGCCATTGGCGGGCAGCAGCGGCCACAACGGGCCTGCCGCCAAATGCCCTCACAGACTGAAGCGAAGTTCGCAACATGAGGGATTGCAATGGCGAACAGGGCGCAGTTCGCGATGCAGTTGATTTTCGGTTAGATGGAGTTGAGAGCTGCTTCAAAAACGCTCAGGGTAAAAGTTCGGCAAAAGCCCAGCTCCCGGTTTTGTATGGAGCTAAATGTTAAGCAAGCGGCAGGAACCGGGTGACGCAACTGCCTCATCAACCACCGAATATGATGAAACAAAAACATTCATCTCCATGCCAAAAGGAGCAAGTTTATCTCGTAAGCTCATTCTACGTAGTTGATCAGCCGCTTTTCTCTCCCAATTTCTGATCGACGAGCCTATGGTTAGTACCTTATGATTGATTACATGTGATCAGGAGATCGAAACATGAAGTCATGTTCTGTTGAATCCCTATTCTAAAGAATTAAAATAATCTCAACATATGTTTTGATAGTTGTGTTGGCATATGCAGTATCGTCACATAACAAACACTCGTTCAATTGATGAGTTCTTACTTGGATCTGACTCCAAGACATGTCTGCCTCCCAGACTTCCTCACGAACTCCGTTTTGGGAGCAAAAAGACATGAGACCTCGAATCAGGGGCCCAAACAACTACCCAGACTACTAGGTAGGTAGCTATAAAGAGTTTCTAATGGCAGTGCAATAGATCTACCTAAGTATTTTTGTCAATCATTAGAATCCATAGGTAGTCTTTTAAATTTTATTCTGGCCTCATCCAGACTCACAACGTGAACATGTCAACTCGGTCTACAAATATTCGTTGCTTGATCACATGCAGCACAAGATTTTAGCAACATGGTCCCATAATTCATCTAATAGCAGCCATCTATTCAGAAGCTGTGAAGAAAAAGAAACTATAGAGCGGCTCGTCCATACTCTCCTGCTTGTCCATCTCATGGGCCACCTCTGGGGAATAAGAAACCTTCAGACATTTAAGTCGCCTATGATCGAGGTCTGTAGTTTTCATGCCTCCCCTAGCCACTCCGTATTCTCTGACATGCTGAAGTGCCAGGCTACGGCACAGTCGAGCATCCAGGCCACTCAAGCTACCAAGCAACAAAATTCAAGTTCGGTATTAAAAAAGTATGGACTGAACTGATCCCTCCAAACCCAAGGACTCCGATAAATTATATGACGCGCCCCAGCTCATGCATTACCTCAGAGTCCGTAATCTCGGACAACTCGTCGTGCTGGATCCACGCTGAGGCCTCTGTGATATGTGCGTGGACGTAACGAAAAGTGGACTCTAAACCTGATGCTTCAACCTCAATACCTGCTTAGCAGCTGCAAGGGCCGCTGACGTTGGTGTTGGAGTTCTCGGGAGCCAGGCTGACACCTGGTCGTTGGCCCGGTCGAGCATGTCGTGGACCAGCTTGGTCCAGGGGCAGCTTCTTAGCTATGGCTGTGAAAAGAGTTTGGACGTTCTCGGCAGTCTTGGCAGAAGTCTCGAAGAAGAGGAGGCCAGCCTCACGAGCATAAGCCTCAGCATCGGCGGTGGGAATGGCTCGTTTGTCGGGTTGCTCAGTAACCAAATCCAGCTTGTTTCCTGCGAGGGCAATGACAATGTTCTCATTCGCCTGGCGTTGGAGCTCCTTAACCCAAGCCTTTGCCTTGTCTAGTGATGCCTGGAGGAATATTAACATGGCCCTATGGTGGTTGTAAATCTGGTGAACGTACAGATTGAGTGATATCGTAAACGACAACGGCGCAGTTTGCATTTCGGTAGTACATGGGAGCGAGAGACTTGTAGCGTTCCTGGCCGGCAGTATCCCAAATCTCGAACTTGACAGTAGTGTTCTCATCGAGAGAGATGGTCTGGGTCAAGAAGGCAGCACCGATGGTGGACTCGCGATAGGAATCGAATTGGTCCTAGAAGGTCTTGGTAAGTTGCTGTCTCATACAATGACGTGGGCGCCAGTAGTTCATACCTTGACAAATCGCAAGACTATTGAACTCTGAGGTGAAAAATTAGTAAACTATCATATCAGAGACTGTCGTTGCGATATACCTTTCCGACAGCGGACTCGCCTATGTCACAAGTTAGCAAATATGCTATGAAACCGAAACGGGCAGGCAAGGAATGCCGACAACATGTAACATACCTAGAAGAACCAGCTTAAACTGAGCGAACCGGGTGTTAGTGCCGCGGGCGCCAGCGGGAGGTTGTCGGGAGGCCATAATGAGAGATGGGAATGTGGTTTCGAGATGAAGAGGTACGGAGAGCGTCTATCAAGAGTGATAGTGGCAGCAGCAGTGGCGGTATGACCTGAAGGTTGAGGGATCGGACGTGTCCTAGAACAACGGCGTGGAGAGACGCTCGGACCGGAAATCGTATCGGGGTGATTGCGCGACGGAAGCGAATCGAGGAAGAAGGGAGATTTAGGGCGAGAAGGTAGGCGGCGATAGTGAGATGCAAGACAAAAGTCGAGGCTGAAGGTGAGAGGCGAGTCTTAAGATGGGGCTTCGCTTCTTTGATTAAGACGGGACAGACGTGGATGGGACTTGGGGAGGTAAAGTGACTGCCTTGGTTCTTTAGTCCTGAGCCGTGACTGGCTCAAATGGCACGAGGCACACGTCAGGCAGGGCCTGTTTTGGTGAGGGACACCCACTGTGCCACTGTAGTAGGCGGGAAGACGGGGTCTCGGAGAGGTACACTTGCGCAATGCTCACACGGTAGCTGTACTGATACAGGGACCCCGATTTGGGCGAACGGCATGTACCTCTACATCTTACGAGCCTCATCCCATGGCTCTGGGCTTGTGACGTGGGTCCCGCCTTGAGCCACAATGGTCCCCTTAAGTTCAATCCATCCCGTCATTACGATTAACCATGTGGCTGTGCTATAGCTTCGCTGCGCTGGCCTCATCAACTCGTCTGCCAATTCAAGCTAACCATCCAATACCATACCAACTCAGCCCATCCCTCACGTCGTGTCCCTTTTTTTCTTATTTCACTGTCTCTTGCAGCCGTCAAGGGTGAACAAGTCGCCAGTTGGCCACTCTTAATTCCCGGGCTTTACTATAACCTTCAACCTTTTTTTTATCTCGCTTTCCTAATCTTTACAGCTTCAGCTATGGCGCAGCTCAACACCCCCAAATTGCCTTATCGCGACATTAATGTCAAGATCGCCAACGACTCTTATACTTTCACTTCGCCTTCGTCTCCCGATGCGCCCGCCCTGGTAATCGATCGTCCCACTGGTGATGTCCGCCTGAGTGAAGGCAGCGCCGCATCAGCCAAGAGAACAACTCGCGTCTCGAGTATCGCTGGTATTCTGGGAATTATTCAGCTTCGCCTTGGTTCGTCTCTGCCGTGCCAAATCTTGGGCTGATGTCCTCTGGTTTTGGCTTGTGCATTTCACTGACCATGTAAAGACAAGTATGTCATCTTCATCACGAAAGCCCAGCCTGTCGGCCGTCTCAAAGGCCACATGGTGTATAAGGTCGCTGCCACGGAGATCCTGCCCATGCGCGAGCGCTTGATTCACGACCCCGATGAAGACATCTTCATTCAGCTTCTTAAGAACTTTTTGGCTTCAGGGCCTATGTACTTTTCTTATTCCATCGATCTTACCAACTCCTTCCAACGTCAGGCCCAGGCCGACACTTCCAAGCCCCTGTGGATGCAGGCCGACGATCGTTTCTTCTTCAACAAGTATCTTCAGGGCGATTTAATCGACTTCCGCACCCGAGGCGCTCGATCACAGCCTGGCGCACAACCCGGCGTTGACCCCTATATCCTACCATGCATCTTCGGCATGCTTGAGATCAAGCCTACCACATTCAAGGGCAACCCCTTGACTCTGGTTCTTATTACCCGCCGATCCCGCCACCGTGGTGGTACCAGGTACTTTACTCGAGGTGTAGATGATGAAGGACACGTCGCCAACTACAATGAGACGGAACAAATCATCATCCTCAATGACAGCAGCAGCGGGTTAGGTGGATACGCAGGCAGTTCGGACATGCAGAGCGGCAAGTTTGGCGCTGGCGCCGGTCAAGAGATGCAGATATTCTCTTATGTCCAGACCCGTGGTAGCGTTCCTACGTTTTGGGCTGAAATCAACAGCTTGCGATATGTTCCTAAGCTTCAAATCCGCGGCGTCGATGCAGCTTTCTCCGCTGCTCAGAAACACTTCGACGAGCAAATTCGCTTATATGGTGACAACTATCTCATCAACTTGGTCAACCAGAAGGGTCGCGAGCAGCGGGTCAAGCAATCGTACGAGCAGATGGTGGAGAAGCTCGTTTCTTCTCCTAAGGAGCGGCAAGAAGCAGATCTGCTCACTGAGGAGAAGTTCACCACAATTCAGCCGGAGGGCAAACGCCAAGAGTTTGACCGGCTGCACTATGTCTACTTTGACTACCACAGCGAGACAAAGGGCATGAAGATGCACAAGGCTTATGCTCTTATTGAGAAGTTGGCCGATGCATTGGAGAAGCAGGGCTACTTCCGTGCCGTTGATACCCCATCCAGCGTTGACGGTAGCCTCGACGCCCGGAGCTACCAGACGAGTGTCATGCGTACAAACTGCATGGACTGCCTCGACCGAACGAACGTTGTCCAGAGCATGTTCGCTCGGCATAAGCTTGACCGCATCTTTGAGGATGTTGGCTTCATGCCCCGCGGCTCTTCATTCCGTGACGAGGATCCTGCTTTTGAGGATTTGTTCCGTAATCTCTGGGCTGACAACGCTGATGTTGTCTCCAACTCATATGCTGGCACTGGTGCCATGAAGACTGATGTCACACGTACTGGTAACCGAACCAAAGTCGGTGCCCTTCAGGATGCCCGTATTGGTATCACACGTTATTTCCGTAACAACTTCCTCGATGGACCCCGACAAGATTCTTTTGATCTTTTCCTTGGAGCTTACCGACCAGGCTCAACCAATATCGGCACTACTCTGGTCTTCACTGACCGTCGACCGGTCTTGATCCAGGCTATTCCCTATATCCTTGCCTTCAGTGTCTTCATTGTATTCATTGGCCTCTTCACCCGCCGAGACCCAGAGGCAAGCGCCCTGCCTCTTCGTATCTTCCTTTTCTTCTGGATGGCTATTGCTGCCTGGTCTTTCTACTTTGTCTGGAATCACGGCATGCTCTATGTAAGTTTCTCGCTGCATGACACTCACCTCAAACCATTCTAATTCTTCTTAGGTTAACTGGCCACGCCTCAACCCCAGGCCATTTGCTGTCGAGGGCTACAATGAGCACTTCGCCAAGGCGCGCAAGGACTCTGTCATTGGAACCTATGTGGCGAAACACGAGA